GCTCTGAGACCTTGGCTGCTGAATGCAAGTATCTGGGTTTGTTTGGGTTCTATAATTGAAACACTGTTGCAACTCCAGCTGGGCCGGCTGGCTGAAAGCATGGGGTTTGTTTAGCTTCTATAATTGCAACATTGTTTCTTAGAGTGCAAGCTCAGAGCCCAGCAGTGGCAGGTGGGGAACCTTGGCTTCCTCCTTCACTGGAGCAAGCAAGCCTCCTGTTTGTTTCAGCTGCCTGGCTGCCGGCTACCATCTTGGTTGGCAGTTAATTTGCATATTGCCCTGATTAGCCAATGGGAAGCCTGTTGGAGGTCTGGTTAATTACCATGTTTGTCTATTATTAGATAGGATATTACAGTTCAAGGGTCATTTGTTTCAAATATTTTTTCTAAAAGCATTTTTGAATTTAGCTTACCCCAATAGAATAGGTATGTAGGCAGAGGGCTGGGAAGTGGTGTTCACATTCTGAGCTCTTGGTAAAGAATAGCTTTATCCTACATTGAAAGTGATAGAACAGTCTATGATTTTTTAAAAAGACCTTACATGGCCAAAACCGGTTTGGCTCAGGGGATAGAGCGTCGGCCTGTGGACTGAAAGGTCCCAAGGGCATGTACCTGGGTTGCGGGCACATCCCCAGTGGGGGATGTGCAGGAGGCGGCTGATCAATGTTTCTGACTCTCTATCTCTCTCCCTTCCTCTCTGTAAAAAATCAATAAAATATATTTTTAAATAAATAAATAAAAATAAAAAGACCTTACATGAAATACTTAGGATTCCAGCCTCAATTATACATTTTTAATTTTATTTATTTGTTTTTTGAAAGTTAATTTTCTCATTTTTTTAAATCCTCACCTGAGGATATGTGTTGTTTTTAAATTGATTTTTAGAGAAAGAGATAGAAAGAGAGAGAGAAGCATCAGTGTAAGAGAGAAACATCAATCAGTTGCTTCCCGTTCGTGCCCTGATCTGGAATCAAACCCACAACCTCTTGGTATATGGGATGATGCTCCAAGCAACTGAGCTACCCGGCCAGAGTTCAATTATACATTTATTTAAATTGTTCATTCATTCAACTATTGATTGAGCACTTACATGTTAGGCACTGTACCAGACCCCAGCAACAATATAAGTTATACTCCCTGCTCTTAAGAAATTTATAGTCTAACTCAGGTGGGCAAACTTTTTGACTCGAGGGCCACATGGGTTCTTAAACTGGACCAGAGGGCCGGAACAAAAGCATGGATGGAGTGTTTGTGTGAACTAATATAAATTCAAAGTAAACATCATTACATAAAAGGGTACGGTCTTTTATTTCAATAGTTTTATTCATTTCAAACGGGCCGATCCAGCCCGCGGGCCGTACTTTGCCCACAGTTGGTCTAACTAGAGGCCCGGTGCATGAAATTCATGCAAGGGGACAGGGGGGTGGGGGGGAAGGAGTCCCTCAGCCTGACCTGCACCCTCTCCAACCCGGGACCCCTCAGGGGATGTCCGCTGGCTCCTAACTGCTCACCTGCCTGCCTGCCTAATCACCCCTAACTGCTCCCCTGCCAGCCTGATTGCCCCTAACCACCTCTGCCTTGGCCCCCACCACCATGGCTTTATCCGGAAGGATGACTGGAAGATGTCCCGTTGCCCTGGTCTAATTAGCATATTACCCTTTTATTAGTATAGATAGAAGAGTAATGAATGTAAAGAAAATAATTGTGTAATTGCTCTCTCTGTACCTCAGTTTCCTTCTCTGTAAAAACACTAGAATAACGTACCTACTCATGGTGTTGATAAAATAAATGGACTAATAAAATTAAAATGGTTAGAATAGGAGCTTTGCACTGTTAGTGTTATTAATAATTTATGTAATAAGTCTATAATAGAAGTGTTGCACAAGGTAAATTGGAGTGTCAGCAGCCCTATTTTGAGAAGATTGGAACAGGTTTTACTGGTACAGAGGCCCTAGATTTTAAAGGATCAGGAGTTGTTTTACAGATGTTGTAGAAGAATGCAAGAAAGTTTATTGAAGGTAGAGGAAAACATGCATGAAAAATGTAGATATGAACCAGTCTAGATCAGAATGATTGGAATGTATGGCACAAAGTGGCGAGGAGGTTAGAGTCGGGGACAAGTAATGGGTAGCCTTTTCTGCCATGCCAGAGAGTTTCCTCTCTGTGTCGATGCAGAAACTAGATTAGAAACACTACCTTCACATCAGTCTAATTTGAGAGCTATGGTTGGCTCACCCTTGTACCTGTTGTGTACTAGGTACCTTGCTAAAGTAAATCCAGGAGATGCAAAGGTGGCAGCCTGCCGTGTGTTATCTCTTGAGCAGTGAAAATCCTCAGTTAACAGAGCTCTGTGCTGATATAGAAAACACCTGCCACAGACTGTGAAGTGAGTGGCTCAAAGCTAAGAGTGAAGCCCAGAGGGAATCCCAAGATCTCAGGACTAAAGAAATGGATTGTCAGCATACTGACACCAGTGCTGTCTGATGCACTCACACAGACTTTTGCTTCAGGGGAGTCCATGGACTGATTCCATTGTTCCTTGACATCCACCACTTCCGTCAGGTTGTCTTTATCCTAATTTTTCAGGGTGTTTCCTGATTTCTTTTTACACGGTTATTTCCATCTGTTATCTGAATTCTAGGTTCATATATAAAAAATTGGCTTGGGGCCGAAACCGGTTTGGCTCAGTGGATAGAGCGTCGGCCTGCGGACTGAAAGGTCCCAGGTTCGATTCCGGTCAAGGGCATGTACCTGGGTTGCGGGCACATCCCCAGTCGGGGGCGTGCAGGAGGCAGCTGATCGATGTTTCTCTCTCATCGATGTTTCTAACTCTCTATCTCTCTCCCTTCCTCTCTGTAAAAAAATCAATAAAATATATTTTTAAAAAAATTGGCTTGGGACTTATTTTAAAGCTTTTCAAAGTTATGCCTGTATTCACTTGTGATTTAAAGAGTAGATATATTAATATAGTTTGGAAGACAAAATAAGGTTAGCATAACTTAAATTCTAAATATTACCAATTTCAATATACTCTTTAAATTTTTAAAAATATTTTCATTGTGATAAAATATATATAACATAAAATTTGTCATTTAACCATTTTTAATTGTACAATTCAGTGGCATTAATTACATTCACAATGTTGTGCAACCGTCACCACTGTTTATTTCTAAGGCCTTTCATCACCCCAGAAACTATATATTTTATTTATTTTTCTTTTTTATTTCTTAAAGTATTACAAAGAGTATTACACGTCTCCTTCCCCTCCTTGACATTCCCCCTGCCGCCCCCACCCCCCGGGGTCTTATGTCCATTGTTTATTCTCATATGCATGCATACAAGTCCTTTGGTTGATCTCCTACCCCCCACCAATCCTCCCCAGGGTTCCCACTGTAGTTTGACAGTCTGCTCAATGCTGCTCTGCCTCTGTATCCATTTTTGTTCATCAGTCTATAATGGTCCTTATTATCCATAAATGAGTGAGTTCATGTGGTATTTTTCTCAGCTTCCCAGGGGCCGTCTCAGTCTCACAGGGGCCGTCTCAGCCTCACAGGGCCTGTCTCAACCTCACAGGGGCTGTTTTAACCTCATCGTGGCCGTTTCAACCTCACTGGGGCCGTCTCAGCCTCACCAGGGCCGTTCCAGCATCATGGGGACCGTCCCAGCCTCACAGGGGCCACCTCGGCCCTACGGGGGCCGTCTCAGCCTCACGGGGGCCGTCTCAGCAACACGAAGTTTGGCATTCTGTCCTTTTTTTGGGCGGCTCCTTGCTGGACAAAATCTCCAGGCGTTCCTGGTGGCTGAATATCTGGTATGCTTGCTTGGATTTCGTTTTCTACCAAGTGCACAGACTGCCTGTTTGCCATCTCCCAGTGTCCCATGTGAGACTGGACCTGGTGGACCTGTTTGTGTGTTTGCTGGTACAGCGGTTCCATGTTGCCGGCCCAGCCGGGTCCGATTCTGGCTTCCCCAGAACCTGATTCTGCTTCTTGAGTGTGAACCTGCCTCTCCGTGACTCCATGTCTTGCGTCCCCGAGTGCCTGCGAACAGCTCCACGAGACAGCCACTCTCGCTCTCTGGCCCATTGCAAGGCTGTGCTGCCTCTCCCTGTAGGTGTCTGGGACCTCAGGATCCCACCCTAAACAAGCTCAGTGGATTTGAGAGTCTGCATCCCCTTCCGATTGAAAAAAACCGCGCATCCAGTTGCAGCCCACCTGACTCTCGACTCCGCACCTCTGTTCTTGGCGAATCACCAGGGCGGGGCAAAGGGCAATGGCATCTTTGCGACTTCTCGCCTCTCCTCAACTCTATCCTCGCCTCCTGAGCGCCAGCGGGCAGCTCCGCGAGCAAGCCACCCTCACTCTGGCCCATTGTAAGACCGTCCCATCTCTCCCTGTAGGGGTCTAGGACCTCAGAATCCCACCCCAAACAAGCTCAGTGGACTCAAGAGTCTGCAGCCCCTTCCGATTGAAAAAAACCGTGCATCCAGTTGCAGCCCACCTGGTGCACGACTCCGTACCTCTGTTCTTGGAGCCTCTGCACAACCTACTCAGTTTCAATCTTCTTTCTTTCCTTCCAGTTGTAGAACTTCCACTGGGCCAGCTTTCCCATGGTTCTAAATGGTGGTTGTTTGTCTTATAGTTGGTAGTTTCAATGATGTTGTGGGAGGCAGCACACACAGGTCTACTCCCTACGCCGCCATCTTGGTTCCTCCTCCTTATTCTCTTTCTTGTTGCTGTTTTTTGTTTTTTCTTTGTTTTGCATCACCTAGCATCTGAAGAGACATGGTTTGTGATTCTAGAAATGAAAAACGCTAATTAATTAAGCCCATACTTCCCACTTCAGAAACTATATCTTTTAAGTAACCATTTCTCACCACCACTCCCACAGCCTCCTGGTAACCTCTAAACTACTTTCTGTCTCTATGAATTTGCCTATTCTAGATATTTCTTATAAGTGGCATCACTTATGTCCTCTGGTATCTGGCTTATTTCACTTACCATATGTTCAAGGTTCATCCATGTTGTAGCATGTATTAGAACTTCATTCCATTTCATGACAGTAATATTCTATTGTATCTGTGTGCCACAGTGTGTTAATCCATTCATCTGTTGATGGACCAACTCTTGGGTTGTTTCTACCTTTTGGGTAATGTGAATAATGCTGTACTGAACATGGGTATTTATTTGAGTCCCTATTTTTGGTTATATATGCAATAGATTTTTTAAGTTCTTCAAGAGCAGGATACCTGTTTTCTTTGTAATTTTTCTACTCCCTGGCAGCTAGTATCACTTAGGAATCACTACATAAACATTGAACTAATCAGGATATCTGTCTATTTCCTAACTTTCGGCAGTAGATTAGAGACATAAAGACTGGTTGCTCGGCCATAAAACTGGTATCCAATGAAAGTTTAAACTTTTGTTGCTGTGTTCCATCAAGGCAAATTGCTAAGTTTGAACTTCTTAGGAAAAAATTGCTTTAGCCTAAGACTATGTACTGTTAACTAAAAGACTAACTAGGTTGTTTCATTTTGTGTGGGTCTGTTTTTTATTTTTAACAGTGAATGCATAAAAATACAACCAACTGACATCCAGCCTGACATATTCAGCTATTTGTTGCACATTATGTACACGGGGAAAGGACCAAAACAGATTGTGGATCATAGTCGTTTGGAGGAAGGGATTCGCTTTCTTCATGCCGACTACCTTTCTCACATTGCAACTGAAATGAATCAAGTGTTCTCACCAGAGACTGTGCAGTCCTCAAATTTGTATGGCATTCAAATCTCAACCACCCAAAAAACAGCTGTCAAAGAAGGGCTGGAGGTCAAAGAAACGCCTTCCAGTAACAATGGAAACAGAGCTGCTGTCCAGGGTGACCACCCCCAGTTGCAGCTTTCTCTTGCTATTGGGCTGGATGATGGCACTGACCAGCAGAAGGTCCATCCTGCAGCCCAGGCCTTGGAGGAACACCAGAAGCCTCCAGTGTCCATCAAGCAGGAGAGATGTGACTCAGAATCTGTGATCTCCCAGAGCCACTCCTCATCCTCATCCGAGATGACAGGCCCCACGTTCACCGAAAGTAGCATCAAAATTCACTTATGCCACTACTGTGGAGAACGTTTTGATTCTCGTGGTAACCTAAGACAACATCTCCATACCCATGTGTCTGGATCTCTCCCATTTGGCGTCCCTGCTTCCATTCTGGAAAGTAATGACCTTGGTGAAGTGCACCCACTTAATGAAAATAGCGAAGCTTTTGAATGCCGCAGGCTCAGCTCCTTCATTGTCAAGGAAAATGAGCAACAGCCTGACCACTCAAACCGGGGTACCACAGAGCCTTTGCAGATCAGTCAAGTGTCTTTGATCTCCAAAGACACAGAGCCAGTAGAATTAAATTGTAATTTTTCTTTTTCAAGGAAAAGAAAAATCAGTTGTACCATCTGTGGTCATAAATTTCTCCGAAAGAGCCAATTGCTGGAACACATGTATACACACAAAGGTAAATCTTACAGATATAACCGATGCCAAAGGTTTGGTAACGCATTAACCCAGAGATTTCAGCCATATTGTGAAAGCTGGTCTGATGTCCCCCTGAAAAGTTCTCGCTTGTCGCAAGAACAATTAGACTCATCTTGTGCCTTAGAGTCAGAGCTCACACAAGAAAATGTGGACACTATCCTAGTTGAGTAGCAGTTTCTTCAGAATTTTTATATCAGTTCTGACAATTCACATGCATTTTTTTATTCATAAATTATTTTCCTCCTCAAGTTCTATTAACTTTTCTTCTTTACTATTTATTGGTAGTTTTAACATTGTCGTAATATATTAATTCATGGTTTTTAAAATAACCTTCAATGAGGGCTGTGAATGTCTTATAAATTAATTCACAATTTGGAAATCAAAAATCAATGTAGTAATATGGAACTTTAGAAATAAAGAGTTATTTATAGAATTTCTAAGTTTTTCCAGGTTGTAGAATCAGTAAAATCAAATTAATATGAAGTAAATGAAATATTTTTTAAAGAATACTCTAGACTGGCACTTTTGGCTAATGTTTCACGTGAATAAACCCCTAAAGAATTATTTTTAAATATTTTCTGCCATATAGAAAATTAATAGTTATTTTAATGCATAACTGTTATAATGTATAAAATGTGTTTTAAGCATAGCTATACCAAATCATGAGTAGTTTTTAAATTATGTTTTACTTACTAGCTCTGCAACATTTTACATGGCTTTTATTTACCTTTAACATTGTGAGCATACCTCATTCTTAATAGAAAATATTTTATCTAAAAAGAGAGAAAAGGAGCAGGGTCAGACATAAAAAATCCTAAAGAGTAACAGGTACATACACAGAGATGACCATATGAGACAAAGATTCAGATAGATCTGCATTGACTAGCACCCCAATGTTCTTACCTTAATCCAATGTTTTCTTATTTTTTTTAAATATATTTTTTATTGATTTCAGAAAAAAAGGAAAAGCGAGAGGTAGAAACATCAATGATGAGAGAGAATCATTGATCGGCTGCCTCCCGCATGCCCGCTATTGGAAATCGAACCCACAACCCGGGTATGCCTGACCAGGTAGCAACCATGACCTTTGAGGACATTTCCTGACAGCATCAGAGTTCAGTCAGGAGGGAGCTCAAAGAGTAATCGACCTCATTCTAAGGGTGTAAAGGTTTTCTCTGGGTAAATTGAGGTTAGCTGAATTATGAAGTGGTAAATTTTTCTTGAGGGTTGAATGAAGAAAACCATTGGGCATTGTCTAAAGGAGTCAAGTTTCTACCTTAGACAAGTGAGTAAAGCTTCCTGGAGTCAAGACTGATATGTGCTGAGAGCAAAATCTATCTATGGATATAGGATCAATTGTATTGTGAGTGGTTAAAGTAAATGTGTTGCCCTTTGGGGTCAGAACTTTATCTAATCTTTTATATATTTTTTTATTGATTTCAGAGAGGAATGGAAATGGAAAGAGAAAGAGAAACATCAATGATGAGAGAGAGTCATTGATCAGCTGCCTCCTGCACACCCCACACTGGGGATTGAGCTGGCAACGCAGGCATGTGCCTTGACCAGGAATCAAACCATTACCTCCTGGGTCGTAGGTTGACGCTCAACCACTGAGCCTCGCAGGCTGGGCCTTTATCAAATGTTAAATTTAAATCACTTAATTATTCTAACTCATACTGTTCTCAAACATTTCATCTCATAGGATGAACACAAATATTAACATTGATTTTCATGTATAGTGGGGCCTTGACTTACGAGTGTCCCGACTAACGAGTTTTTCGAGATAGGAGCCGTCTCTCGGCTGATTTTTTGCTTTGAGTTGCAAGCTAAAATTCGGGTTACGAGCCAGCTTCAGATACTCCACCGCTAGTTGGCACAGCGAACGTCACAGTGAACGCCACAACATCAGCCCAGCATCACGTGTCTCACTCTTTCACTTTTTGATTTGACATAGGAGTCATTTGAGTTACCAGCTCCGTCACAGAATGAATTAAACTCATAAGTCAAGGCCCCACTGTATGTTTATCATAGATATTGGCCTTCGATTCTTTTTCTTTGTAATGTCTTTATCTCATTTTGGAATTAGGATAATTCTGGCCTCATAAAAAGAGTTTGGAAGTGTTACTTCCTCTTGGATTTTCTGAAATAGTTTAAGGAGTATGGGTGTCAATTCTTCTTTGAATGTTTGGTAAAACTTCCCTGTGAAGCCGTCTGTTCCTGGGCTTTTGTTTGCTGGAAGCTTTTTGATGACTGCTTCAAATTCCTCCATAGTTATCGGCCTGTTGAGATTTTTAGATTCTTCCTGATTGAGTTTTATAAGGTTGTATTTTTGTAGGAA